TTTGAGGATGTCTCGATCGGTTTGCCTGTTTTGGTGGCCAGACTCGTGGGCACAGATTCTCCTCAGGATGCCACAGGAAGCTCCAACAGGCTCCAGGAGGCCCCAGGAGGCCACATGAGGTCCCAGGAGGCATCAGGAGGCCACAGAACGATTCAAGAGGCCTCCAGGAGGCCCCAGGAAGCTCCAGGAGGCCCCAGGAGCTCCAGGAGGCCCCAGGAGGCCACAGGAAGCGCCAGGAGGCCTCGGAAGGCAACATGAGGCCCCGAGAGGCCCCAGGAGCAGGAGGCCTCAGAAGGCAACAGGAGTGGCTCCAATCCCATGTGTTTTGCGTATGCTACTATAGATTGGGCCTCGACTGGAGCACGAATCCTCCGTAACCGTTTTGGCTCAAGCCGTTCCTATTCTGTTCGCTCTCGATCGGCCCCGCGGGTGGCAGCAGAGTTCGGCAGCTTGGGTGATGGTTGCGGTCGCTGGTCTGGGCGCGGAGGCTTCGCCCTCTGCGGGGAGACTGGCGCAGCAGGTCGACCGTTCGCCTGCGGCGGTGCTGCGTGCGACGGCGCGGCGCAGGCAGCAGGCGGGGCGCGCGGCCACCCTCGGTCGTCTCGAGGCCGCGCTCGCCCGCGTTGCCGTCCTGGAGGCGGAGCTCGCGGAGGCCCAGCGGTGCCATCGCGAGGCCGCCGCCCAGGCCGTGCGGCTGGCCGAGGCGAGCGGGGACCTCGGCTCCGCGTCTGACGGCGCGCTGAAAACCGAGCTCGCGTCCAGGCTGGCGCTCGCTGCCCCCGTCGTCCTGGACGTTCTGGCAGCTGGCCCAGCTCGAGACGCCAGTGCAGCCACGCCCTCCCCAGACGGCGGTTTCGCTGGGACTGGCGATGGCTCGCGAGGTGCTCTGGCAGGTGGGCAGCGGGGCGGAGCTCGTCGTAGGGCGGTCGAGGCGGCTACGCCGACCCGCTCTCGGCGCAACGCTGGCCTCCACTGCGCCGAGAGGAGGGCAGTAAGCATCTCGGCGATGCGGCAGGCCTCCCTCGATCGCCTGCAGAGGTCTGCTCAGCGAGCGTGGCGGGACCGCCAAGGAGGACAGCTTCGGCACGGGCATGGCGCTGCTGGTCGCGGACGTGCTGCTCTTCCTCTTCTCCGCTCTGCTGGTGCAGGCCCTCTTCACCGCCGTGTGCCTGCCCAGCGCTCGGCGTCCGAGGGCGTGTCGACGGGATGGGGCGTGGCCCGCAGGCGCGGGCGCAGCCTGCCCGCTGGCGCTCTCTTCGCGCTCGCCGAGCGCGTGTGCAGTGCACGCCAGCCCTCCGCGGCCCCTGTGGCCTCTGGCTTCAGGGGCGCGGTTGTGGCACGCTGGCGTCGAGGATGTGGAGGCTACCGTTGTGGAGACGCACGGGGACAGCGGCTACGGCGGCTCGCTTAGCGTGGTCCTACCTGCTCCTCGGCCTGCGGCACATGGGGCTCCTCATCCTCCTCTTCCTGGTTCTGGCACGGCGTGCAGCACGGCTTGCACTTCCTCTCCTCCTGGCGGCGTGGACCCCAGTATCGTCACGGCTTACCTGCTGGCCAACGACGCTGCCCTCCTCTGCGGGCGCAGCGAGGTTGCTACTGGTGGCTCGTGCGGCGAGCTGGGCATGCAGGAGGATGGCCGTCGTGACCAGGGCCTGGATCGCTCTCCCAACCTGTCTTCGGCATCTCCCCGCTTCGTCGGCGACGGCGGCATCGGGATGGAGATCGGCGGGGACGGCGGGAGGGTCGACGGCGCTGACGGCGCTGGCAGCGTGGACGGCGCTTTTGCCACGGAGGCGCCCGCGCGCGGGCCCGAGCGGCTCCTGGCGCTGCGCCGCCACGTCTTCGCGGGGACCGTGGCCCTCACGGTCGACCGCGACATCCGAATGCCGGGCTGGCAGTGCGACGGCGGCGAGGTCGACCCTCCGGTGCCCTCGGCCTCAGAGGCTGCCGCTGGTCGCCAGTGGCTCCGCTCCCAGTTCGGCCCAGGGTCCCCGTGGCGGGCGTGGGCGAGCAAAGAGCGGCAGCGGCGCCAACGCACCTGAGCGGGTCCTTCTCTGCGTGCTGCTGTCCTGCTGCAGGCGCCCTCAGCAGATGCGCGCTGTGCGAATTGGATTGGCCTGCTCTTCCGCCTTCTTGCCGCGGCGACACTCCTCGAGCTGTCGCGGCCGCTCGGCGTACGAGCAGGGGGGGAGTGCCTTCGGTGGCCTGGGTCTGTTTGGGCTCGGCACGGGCTGGCTGGTGACTTGTGCGGTCGCCTCAGCTGACGGCGCATACCCTCGGGCGTCTGCCCTTTCTCGCCTCCTTCTGGCGGCCGCTCGGCTTACGAGCGTGGGGGAGTGCCTTCGGTGGTCTGGGCCTGATCGGGCTCGGCACGGGCTGGTTGGTGGCTCGCGTGGTCGCCTCAGCTGGCGGCGCGTTCCCTCGAGGTGCGCGGCGCGTGGCAACGATGTGCGACCGCCTTTGCTGGTCCTCTTGGGCCGCTCAAGACGAGTGGCTGCCGTTAGCCGTGCCCTCCAGCGAACGGTGCATGCTGCGTGCGCCGCGCCGACCATTAAAAAAGGAGCACGAATCCTCGACGTTATACGTATGTTTCTATAGATTGTCCTTCTCCTGTGTACGCAGTCCTAGATGATTTACTGATGCTCCGGTCGCACAGTCCTGTGTACACAGTCCTATATGTGTACAGTCGCGCCCAAATGGTGGGGATGTCTCAGGCAATTCACCTGTTTTGGTCCGCATCATCCTCCGCTTTCGGAGCAGATTTTGAAGATGTCTCGTGCGAGGCGCCTCCTGAGGGGGGCCGCCAGGGCCTGGGGTATTGCACGGCCTCCGTTCGCGCCCAAATGGCGGGAATGTCTCAGGGGGTTTGCCTGTTTTGGTCCTCAACATCCTCCGCTTTCGGAGCAGATTTGGAGGATGTCTCGAGCGAGGCGCCCAGTTTCGCCCCCCAGGGGGGCCAGATTTTGAGGATGTCTCGATCGGTTTGCGTGTTTCGGTGGCCAAGCTCGTGGGCACATATTCTCCCCAGGATGCCACAGGAGGCTCCGGCAGGCTTCAGGAGGCCCCAGGAGGCCACATGAGGTCCCAGGAGGCATCAGGAGGCATCAGGAGGCCACAGGATATTCAAGAGGCCACAGGGTGTCCCAAGAGGCTCCAGGAGACCCCAGGAGCTCCAGGAGGCCTCAGGAAGCCACAGGAGGCCCCAGGAGGCCACATGAAGCGCCAGGAGGCCCAGGCAACATGAGGCCCCGAGAGGCCCCAGGAGCAGGAGGCCTCAGAAGGCAACAGGAGTGGCTCCAATCCCATGTGGTTTACGTATGCTCCTACAGATTGGGTTGGGCCGCACCTGCAGCACGAATCCTTGATGTTATACGTATGTTTCTATATAGTCCTTCTCCTGTGTATACACTCCTTCATGCTGTACGTCTGTTCCTGTAGATTGGGCCTCCCCTGGGGCACGAGTCCTTGGTGTTTTACGTGTGCTCCTATAGACTGCCCTTCTCCTGTGGCTCCAATCCGCAATGTTTTATGTACGTCTGATCCTATAGATCGGGCTTCTCCTGGGGCACGAATCCTCCCTAGGAGGTCCCAGGAGGCTCTAGGAGCCTCCAGGAGGCTACGCGAGGCTCCAGGAGGCCTCAGGAGGCCACTCGAAGCCCCAAGAGGCCCCAGGAGGCCCCGGGAAGGCCCAGGAGGTTTCTGAAGGCCCCAGGAGGCCCCAGGCTCATGCGCAGAGACACGCTCGTACTACCGAGACTCACTCACGCTCCAATCCGTTCGAAGCTAGATTCATGACCAGACCGTCACAACTCAAGCCCGCTTACATTCGAAAACTCTTGCGCCTAGACTCTCACGGCGGAGAGGTCCATGCGAATAGATGCACATATGGGGAGCTCCACGCAGTGAATACTTTTGTGCGACGCGATCCTGTCTGGGTCCGAAACCTCCTGTTCCTCTGATGTACCCCTGAGATCAGACGTAGCGAAAACATACAACATCGCACAACAATTACGCCTGGAGCCCAAGACCCCCTCTTCCTGCGCCATTTCTCGATCCGGATCGATATGTGAAGGCCCCGGGCCCCAAGAATGCGAAAACACGCCTGGCCCGAAGAAGAGTTGAAACGCCAGGAGCTCAGGGACTGCCCTTCGGCTCCTGGCGCCCGCCGGGGCTGTCCTCGGGGGCTCCGGGATCGGGGAGAAGCCCGCCTTCAGTAGGGCGTCCATGACAGAACTGAGTTGCCCCCAAATGGATTTGTTCGTTGAGAATAAACGAAACGTGCGCATCATGCTCGTAGATCGGCCAGCATGATCTGTATTTGTTGTGTACACCAAGGAGGAAAACAGTTGTGGGGCAATTCAATTCTGTGGGTGAGCGTTTTCTTATTCGGCGTTTCGGCATTGGGTGGAAGGGGGGGGGAGGGGGGGAGGTGTCTGGCTCTGGACCCAGCAGTGCGTCCTATGGGGAAGACTCTGCTCGAAACAGGCGCCAAAAGCAGCCAAGGGCTACTCCAGGGAGGGGGGGGGTGCGAGGGCCCGCGCCGATCGGCAAGACAACGAATAAGAAAACGATCACTGGACGATCCCCGACGCGCCGCCGGAGGCTGCCACAGCCCGCCAGCGGCGGAGGACGAGCTGCCGCCCGCCGTGGTGGCCAGGCGGCTGTGCGCCGCCTCCGTGGAGGGCGTGCTGCGCGGCTGCAGGGCCGGGCCCTTGCCGTCGCCGAGGCCGGCCAGGCCGCCGCCGGTGTGCAGGGCCGCCTGCCTTCCGAAGACCGAGCAGGAGATCGAGAGGAGCGAGAGGGCCCGGGATCGAGAGGGTCGAGGGCCCTCTGGATCGAGGGTGGTCGAGGGCCAGGGAGGAGATCGAGAGGAGCGAGAGGACCCCCTCTCGGGTGAGGCAAGGAATCGGGGCGGCAGGCGTGTCCGCATGTGTTCTGCCTCTGGCGGCCCCATGCGGACCCTCGGCGCCGTCCACAAACCGACCCGCGATGAGAACCCGCTGCAGGGGACTGGGTCGAGACCTCCGGAGGGTCGACGCTGCGAGACGCGGCGTCGGGGGTCGAGGGGCCGAGCATCGGGAAGGCTCGAGGGCCCTCTCGGCCGAGGGTGGTCCAGGGCCGAGGGTCATGCTGCTCCCATCGTGCTCACGGACCACACCCCAGAAACAACGTCGAGCACCCCGGAAAGCATCGAGACGGCGTCGAACGAGGATCGCCTCCCGGGGCCCGACGCGCGAAGACCCTCCCGCCTCGGTGCTCTCCGGGTGCCCGAAGTTCTTCCCGGTGGCCAGGGCGAGTGCAGGCGGGAACAGCACAAGTCGAGGGGAGCTCGAGGACCGCGAGGGCCCAGGATCCGGGGGGGGGGCGAGGGCTCCCCGGGTCGAGGAGCACAGGGGGGGAGGTCGAGAGGACCTCCGACGGCGTGGTGGCGGGTCTCGGCCCGGGCGGAGGAGGAGGGCCCGGTGCCGCGACCGTGCCGTCGGATCGTCGGGGCGTTGACCGGAGGGACCCCCAGGCGGGGAGCGAGGCCCCTGCTTCCCAGGGGTGAGACTTTGACTTCCCGTGGAAAGCCTCTGCAGGAAAGCCTGAGGCAAGCTGTTGCACCATCAAGGAACACCGAGCCTCCCCCCCCCCGAAAAGGGTTCCTTCTTCAGCGCCCCGACTGTCTAGATTCGCCGCTGCGGGCTGCCTGGGAGGCCCTCGTCTCCCCCACGACTCTGGGCCGCAGCAATAGCGCAACACGCAACCCGTAGCGTGCTGCGGCGGCGAGCGAGGAGAGGAAGCGAGGAGGAGAGGGCCCTCTCCGAAGGCGGCGTGCTTTCTCAGAAGCTGCCTCGCGCCTTCTGAGAGGTGCTCTGCGTCCTCGGGGAAGGCTCAGGACACGTCTCAAAGGCCGGGGGGCGTCCGAGCCCTCTGAGAAGACCTTGCTTCCCCCCCGGGCTCCCCGCCGAGGTCAGCGCGGATTTCTCCGATCGGCACTGGACCCCCTTCCCTCCCTGGCGCGCTCCGCGGGACAGGAGCGGCGCCGGAGGCGCTGCCATGGGGGGCCGCAGCGCGGATCCAAGAAATCCGCGCGGAACTCCGACAGTCTTTGCTCAAACGCTTTTGTCTCTTCCTCGACTACTGAGATCCGCCGTTGCAACAAAAAATGCAACATCAAAAAAAACGACTGGAGCCCCAGACCCCATCTGTCTGTGCCATTTTCGAGCTGGATCGATCTGTGAGGGTCCCAGGACGCGACATGAAGCGAAGACGCCGGTCCCAGACCCCCGACGTCATGATTTTTTCATGACGTCGACCCCCAGAGGTCTCGATCCATTCCCCTGGACCAGTTTTTTCGGCCCGAGACGTCTTATGACGGTCCCGAGGCCCGGTTGGGGCCCCCAGGGGCCGAGAATAGCGAAAAACCTCCCGCCATGATTTCTCCAGTGAAAAGACCGCAACGCCAGGATCTCAGGCTTCCTCGGCTGCCTGGGCATGAGCACCGGGGCGAGCATCGAGGCGGCCGCCGCCGTGCCCAGCGGCGGCGCCGTGAGCGGCCGGCGGCGCGGCGTGGCCGCCGTGGCCCGCGGGTGCGCCGCGTGCGCGGCGTCCAGCGGGGAGAGCGGGGAGAGCTCGCCGCCCAGCGTGAAGGGGCTCTCGCGCGTGGGCGCCCAGGACTGCGGGCTGCCGCTGCCCTGCAAGCAGGGTCGTCTCACAGTGGTATCGAACTATGGGCGTTTTGTCGCTCTGCCCTCAGGACCCCCTCGCGTTGTGACAAAAAGTCACGGCGGGAGGGTTCTCGCTACCACTTTCTGCCGCCGGGGGCCTCGGGGCCGTCAAAAAAAGGATTCGGGACGGTCCTGGGGGAAGGGTCGGGGCTTCCAGGGGCCCCGTATTGGAAAAATCAAGGCGTCGCATGTCTGCGGAGATCCTGGCGTCTCAATGTTTTCGAGCTGGACGTTTTTGTTTTTCTTTTTTCTGGGCCCAGGGACCCTCACAGATCGACTCAGCTAGAAAATATATATAGAAAGGCGGGGTCTACAGGGCTCTGCGCGTGATTTTTGTTACGAGGTTCCATTTTTGGGGGGCCACGTCGGATCTCAAAGCAGATCCACCCAGCTCGAAGAAGGATACGGAAAGGTGGGCTCTAAAGAGCTCCGGGCGTGAGATTTTTACGAGGTTGCATTTTGTTGACCGCGTCGGAGCTCAGGGCGGATCGGCCCAGCTCGAAAAAGGATGCAGAGAGATGGGGTCTATAGGGCTCCAGGCGTGACTACTTTTACGGGGTTGCAACCCCAGACATGCGAGGTCCAGATTCCTCCAAAACGGGGTCCCAAGAAGTTCCCAGCCTTTCCCCGGGGACCCGTTTTTCGCCCTGGGTCGTTCCTTGACGGCCCCGAGGCCCGGCGAGGGCCCCCGAGGCCGCAAACGGCCGAAAACCTCCCGCCCTGATTTGGTTTATATGTATGTATATTTAAATATGCTTAATAATAAAAATACTACTGCTACTACTACTACTACTACTACTACTACTACTACTACTACTACTACTACTACTACTACTACTACTACTACTACTACTACTACTACTACTACGACTACGACTACGACTACGACTACGACTACTACTACTAATAATACTAACAATACTAATAAATTAATACTACGAATACTAATATTAATAACTTTAATAATAATAATAATAATAATAATAATAATAATAATAAATATAATAATAATAATAATTTCTTACTGATGTAAGTGAAATGAAAATACATTACTAATACGAATACTTCATATAATAACAATGGTAAGAACAATAATAACAATAACAACAATACAAATAATATTAATAGTAATACGAATAATAAAGATGATACGAATAATAATAATAATAGTAAGAAGAAGAAGAATAATGATTATAATAATAGTAATGATAATGATAATAATAATAATAAGAAGAAGAAGAAGAAGAAGACAAAAAACACGCGATCGTGTCCGGGACTTTCTCGCTACGCGCGTCGGATCTCCAGCGGGTGCCCCCCCCCGAGGCCGCCTCCGGCGCCTCGGCGGGCCCCCGCCCCGCCAGCACGCCGAAGGCGCCGTCCAGCACCGCGACGCCGGCCGTGGACGCGGACAGGGGCCGGCTGCTGGCGCCCGCCACGCTGCCCACGCGGGACGTCCAGGGGCTGTCCTTCAGCAGGGCTGACCCCAAACTGTGCTCTTCGTTGTCGTTTTGTTTTCGTGCTCTCTCGTTTTGTGTTAAGTCCGCCTTTCACGCCGAACGAGGTCGAAGCGAAAACGGCCCTCGAAATCGCCAAAACACCGCTTGGGCCCAGCCCTGTCCTTCGGGGAGGCCACCGCTGGGGGGTCTTCGTCGGACCCAGACCAGGACGTGGTGGTTGCGTACACCAAAAATCAAAACGGGAGGTTTCGGGCTGTTTTCGGCCTCGGGGGGCCCCTCGCGGGGCCTCGGGGCCGTCGGAGGAAGGACTCAGGCGAAAAGCCTGTCCAGGGGAAAGGGTCGTCCAGGGACGCCGCATTGAACAAATCTGGGAGGGAGCGTGATCCACCGCCGCTTTACTGTGGAAAATTCCCCCCCCTCCGCCCTCTTCCTCTGAAACCTGCGCGCCACCCCCCCCCTCCGAAAATCCCCCCCCCCCTTCCGCCCGGCAAACCCCCCCCACCCCCGAACCCCCTCCCCCCCCTTTCCGGAAAACCAAGGTTCACTACCGGTTCGAGACGCCCCCCCCCTCTCCTCCAAAAAACTGGAAGGGGTTCACTACCGGTTCGAACCCCTCCCCCCCCCCCTGCGGAAAACCAGCGGGGGTCACTACCGGTTCGAACCCACTCCCCCCCTCCAGAAAACCGGGGGTTGTCACTACCGGTTCGAACCCCTCCCCCCCCCCCACGCTTACCACCGGCAAACGAATTTTGGGTTTCTACCACCGTCCGCACCACATCCCCCACTGCTGTCCCCAGCGCCACTGTCCTCACCACCACTGTCCCCACTGTTCCCACCACCGTCCCCACTGTCCCCACCAGTGCCCCCACCACTGTCGCACTGTCCCCGCTGTCCCCACCACTGTTCCCACCACCGTCCCACTCTTCCCACTTTCCCCACGGCCCCAACCACTGTCCCACTGTCCCCACTGCCCCACTGTCCCACTGTCCCCGCCGCTGTCCCACAGTTCCCACCACTGTCCCCACTGTCCCCACCACTGTCCCCACTGTACATCTGCCCCATTGTCCCACCGCCGTCCTCGCCACCGCCCTCACCACTGTCCCCACCACCACTGTCCCCACCACTGTCCCACTGTCCCCACCACATTCCCACTGTCCCCACACCACTGTCCCCACCACCACCGTCCCCACCACTGTCCCACAGTCCCCACCACTGTCCCACTGTCCCCACTGTTCCCACCATTGTCCCCGCTGTCCCCACCAGTGCCCCCACCAGTGCCTCACTCTCCCCACTCTCCCCACCATTGTCCCACCACGGTCCCACTCCCCCCACTTTCCCCACAGTCCCCACCACTGTCCCACTGTCCCCACTGTGCCCACCACTGTCCCCCTGTCCCCGCCGCTGTCCCACTGTGCTGTCACACCGTCCCCACTGTCCCCACCCCTCACCACTGACCCCACCACCACCGTCCCCACCACTGTCCGCACCACTGGCCCACTGTCCCCGCACCACTGTCCCCACCACCACCGTTCCCACCACTGTCCCAGTATACCCACCATTGTCCAACTGTCCCGAGGAGCGGGGATCGTTTGCCGGCGGCGAGGGGAGAGGGGGTCGAACCGGTAGTGACCCCCCCAAGTTTTCGAGGGGGGGGGTTCGAACCGGTAGTGGCCCCCCCCTTTTCATGATGGACTCGGGGGGGCGGGGGGGAGGGGTCCGAACCGGTAGTGACCCCCCCCCCGGTTTTCGAGGGGGGGGACGGGTTGGGAACCCCCAGTGGAACCCCCCAGTTTTCCGCCAGCAGCGGTAGAACACGCTCTTTCGAATCAGGACGCCATGACTGGGAACATAATCGCGTCGAACAAAAAAATCAGGACGGGAGGTTCTTGGCCGTCGTTTTCGGCATCGGGTGGCCCTCGCGGGGCCTCGGGGCCGTCTAAAAAGGACTCAGAATTTAGGGTCGGGGCTTCCAGGGACCCCGTATTGAAAAAATCAGGACGTGGCATGTCTGAGACTGGGAGGTCTTCATCGGAAGGAATGAACAAAATTTAAGCCCCACTGGGGGGCTACTACGCCAGATTAGGCCGTGGATTAAGCGGGACTATAAGCCAGATGAAGCGGGAGTCAGCCGGATTAAGCGGGATGAAGGAGGATTAAGCCGGATTTCGGACCAGGGCGAAGTCAGAAGTGCACCTCCCAGGAGTTGCATCCGAACTGTCCAGCACGTCCACGCGGGACTCCGGGCGCGAGCTCCTCAGCGCCGCGGCGGCGGCGGCCTCGACGAGCTCCGGCAGCTCCCGCACGGCGCGGGCTCGGGCGGCCAGCTCCGGCGTGGGCGCGGCCGCGGCCGGCGGCCCGGCGGCCGGCAGGACGGCCACCTCGGACACCTCGTCCACGCAGATGCGGCCGGTGGAGATGTCGTGCATCTCGTCTACCCCCATCACCTGCTCCGCGATGGTGTCCGCCAGGGTCGTCGAGGACGCGAGGCGCGCGCGGACCACCTCGGCGCCCACCTCGTCGCCGTCCGGGCCGAGCACCTGGAAGCCCGCCAGGCGCAGGTCGATGGCGCCGCCCGCGGGGAACGACACCGAGACCTGCCTCGGCATGACGTCGTCCCCGGCCTCGTGGACGATGGCCCACCTTCGGGGAGACGTAAGACTCGGGCTCGGGGGACTCGGGTTGGTTGGCCTGACGAGGCCATCATGAAAACGACGAGGCCCAATCCGAAATCCGACGCGAGCTCCCGCTGCAAACATCCCACGCAGAGCGGACCGTCCAAACCAAAGACACGCGCCCCGCCAAGAAGCGTCGGCAAACCCGAGCTCCGGCTTACTCGAGTCCTTACGTTTCCCCGACTCAGATGTCTCGACCCATTCCCCTGGACCGGTTTTTCATCCTGAGTCGTCTTCTGACGCTCCCGGGGCGCGGTAGGGGCCCCCCGAGGCCGAAAATAGCAAAAAACCCTCCCGTCGTGATTTTTTCATTCCCGACACCGAACGGCGCCCTCGAAGGCGGCCCGCGCCCGCGCATCCGCTGCCAGCCTCGCCCAGCTCACGTTCCTTGAGGCCTCCTAGGTGGGGTCCGAGTAGATGGGGTCGGACGATCGCGCCGCATCGCCGATACATCGGCGATGCACCGGCGATGCATCGGCGACGTCGATGTGGGGAAACACGCGCTCCACATCGAGCCGCATCGTCAGTGCATCGACGACGCGGCGCGACCCTCCGACACCATCTGCTCGGACCCCACCTGGGAGGCCTATAATAGGGGGAAAACGAACCTACCTCGCTTTTGACCACCCTCGCTTCCAAGAGCTACCAAGCGACGCCAAACTACGGCCGCACTGGTCAGGCCGCTCGACGGGGAGGCGCGTGGTATGACCTGGTTTTGCCTGGAAGCGAAAGCGGGGTAGGCAATCCACGCTCTGATACTATAAGGAGCTCCGCAGGGAGACGGAGAGGGCCACCGCGCGGCCGCCGTGGGCCCGCGGCACGGCGCCCGCGTCCATATCCGCCCCCCAAGGCCGAGCACCGCGCGGGGCCGGCGCGCCTCCGGCGCCCCGGCCTGCTCGAGCTCGATCCCCCCCGGGGGTGGGGCCCGCAGCGCGCCGCCAGGACCGCTGCTCGAGCCTATATATAGACCCCCTCGGGCAAGAAGAAGATCATGACGGCAGGCTTCTCGGTGGTTTCGGCCTCCGGGGGCCCCTCCAGGACCTCGGGGCCGTCCAAGAACGACGCAGAACGGAACGCGGGTCCAGAGGAAGGGGTCGAAACCTCTTGGGGTCGACGCTGTGACAAAAATCATGACGTCGGGGGTCTGGGCCTAGGGCCCGCAGCGCGCCGCCCGGACCGCTGCTCGAGCCAGGGCCCTGATCCGACGCAGCGAAAAAGGCACACAACATCGCACGACACCACGCCCAGAGCCCTGGACCCCCTCCCTCTGCGGCACCCCCCACCGGTCTGCGACACTCTTCGAGCCGCACCGAGCTGCGAGGGCCCCGGGGGCCCGAACACGGGGCGAAACCGCCCAGCTCGGAGGAAAATCGCGACGCCATGGGGTCCCGAGGGGAGGGCGGGCACGCGCAGGCCACGGCGAGGCCCCGCCGCCGACTGGGCCTCACCCTGCAGGGGCCTCACGGCCCGCCTGGCGCCGGTCCGCCGGACAGGTCGGCCAGATCTCGAGCGCAGGGAGGCGGACTGGAGGGCGGGGCGCAGAGCAACATACCCAGAGACGATCGCGGCGTAAAAAAATCAGGGCGGGCGGTTTTTGGCCGTTTTCGGCCTCGGGGGGTCCTCGCGGGGCCTCGGGGCCGTCAAAAAAGGACTCAGGATGAAGGGGAAAGGGCCGGGCCTTCCAGGGACGCCGTCTTGAGAAAATCCGGACGTCGCATGTCTGGGTATACAGAGGCAGCGGGAGAGCAGCGAGGGCCCGGTCTGCTCCACAGATGTGCAGCCACTGCCGATGGCCGCTTCTCCTGCCGCCCTGCCCTTTCCTCCCGCGCCCGCTCCCGCCGCGCGTGCCCTGGCCGATGGCCCGCGGGGGTCGGCCGAAGCGGCCGCGGGGCCCCTGCGCTCATCGAAGGAGGGAGCCTAGGTTCGTACATGTTGTGTGCAGCGTAGGGTGCTGTTGGCTGTCTCGTGGAAGGGGTGTACAGTCGGCCCGTATCATAAGGATGCGCGATAAGGATGCAAGGGCCTTCGACGCCCATTACGAAGCTTGTCGAGCGGGGCGCGGCCAACGAAAGTGGCCAAGGATGGACCACAAGGAGGCAAGGATACCCTTGGGAAGGATGCCCATACAGACTAGGCGGACTGACTGTAATGATCGGCGGCGAGCGAGGGGAGGAAGTGAGAAGGAGAAGGTCTTCTCAGAAGGCTCAGAAGTCCCTGGGCCTTCTGAGAAGTTTTCTCGGCCTTCCCCGCAGACACAGAAAACCTCTCAGAAGGCGCGATAGCTTCTGAGAAGTTCCGCCGCCTTCTGAGAGGGCCTTCTCCTTCTTACTTCCCCCCTCGCTCGCCGCCGAATTGAGGCTCGCTGGCACGGCTGTGAAGGAAAAAACGTCTGGGACCCCGAGCTGTAGCTGTTGTCTTCGAGGTTGGAGGTTGAAACGCCTGGACCAACACAACTGGCACAAGCGGGGCTGATCGACAGATACTCACGCTTCAAACATCATGCTGCCTTCGGGGATCCGCATCATGGCATTGAGTTTCCTCTGTATTCCAAACGACTCGATGGCATCCCAATTTGGTTTGAATGTCGCCAACTGGAGGACTACTGGAAAACGCCAGCACCCTAATCTAAACGATAACACTCGTATCAGAAATTGGGGTAGAGAGTATGCTGAATGGTGAATTCAGATCAGCGGCCGTGATGTTCAAATTCCGATGCACCTTCTCAATAAGCCATGCTGCAATAGTTTTCTCTCTCGGGTTGACTTGGTGAAGATTCCCTTCTGTGACGACTGTCCGGAATTGCCCCTTGGCCTTAGAGCGGACGTACTCATTATATTCTCTGATGCGCTCGTGACGACCACAGCCATGGAAACAACAAGGGTCAGCCTCATGCAGCATTTGCAAGCTTGCGCGGTGAGATTCTAGAGCTGCAAGCACATACAAAGCCGTGTAGTTGCCAATACGAGCCCAATCGTTGTCACAGAACTGCTCAAAATCCCATGACGTGTGGCGGAAATCGCACGGCATGGATCCGGCCACTGGTATGGACAGCACGATGCGAGGATCTACTGCCGCCACCAAGGTGGTCGACCAGCCTCCTCCACTCAAGCCCATCATCACAATCTTCTCGTAGCCCATCACACTTTTTGCATAATTGATTGTATTTATGGCGGGTTCAAGGAAAAAGCGGACCCAGGGGAGCCCATCATCCTGGAAGGCTTTGAACCATGCATGGTCATGTGGACCCGAGGGCTGGTTGTTGCAGTCGTGGAAGGGCATCATCACCATTGCAACATCGAACCCCATCTGATTGAGCCAGTCTGCCACGCCATCTGTGTCTCCAAATGTGGGACAACCCTTCGAAGTGCCATGACCATTGTGAAACACCACCAGCGTTGTCCCTTGACGAGGTCTTGCAGGCTCCGACGGTTGATCTACCTGGTCGATCCAATAGTTGGGTGCAATGCCTGAGGTATTAAAAGTGATGTAGACTCTAGACTGCAATTCCAGCGTGTAACTTGCATTGACTTTGGCATCCATTATCCAAGTTAACTCGGTCACATTCACAGCACTTGCGCATGCATCCTTGGAGCCGTTGCCCCAGACTGAGTAAAGGCAGTCGGGAAACTGATGCATGGCTGTCGAAGTCGATATCTTGCTTGGGCGTGTCTGGTTTGGGAGCTGGGGCTGCCCAAACATTGCCTCGATCAAACGGGTGCGCAGCTGAATCCAGTCTGGACTCTGCGGAAGGACTGGATATCCATCGGAAGTGCAGCCTTCCAATTTCGACCCTTCCGCTGGACAGACGTCATCGGGCCACCCAGTGGAACACTCGAACGCGACTGACCAAGCGGCCAGCTGGCAGACGAAAAATACGAGCGCCTGCATGAGCCCTCGAGCCGAGAAGCCCACGAGCGTAAGCTGCCAGCGTCGAGCGCGGCCCCTCTTGAGCCAAAACGGCAGCGCAGCAGCTTCGCAATTGCTCAGCCCACGCGGTAAACAGCCCCAGGGACAGCGCTGAAGAAACGAAGCACAGTCAAAACATGGCCACGAGAACGCGGGTCAAGGGCATGCGCCCCGTCGCCGAGGGACTGAAGCCCTATAGAGTTACCCCAAACGGATGGCATCCCGAGGTGGACTTTCCAGAGCAACACTCATCGGCACATCGTCGCAGCGGCAGGATACGCATGCGGATTGCCTCGTGGAGCCGGTAACGACTGGTTCGCAGCGTAGGGTCTGGCGTCGAAGCTAAAATGGTAACCTGTGTACGGTGGAGGTTTTAGACAAGGATGCCAGCGTTGAGGAACGCGGAGGCCCGAATCGGCGAAGCTCCTGCACTTGTGAAAAGGAACGGTCGAGACCCTGGACAGCAGGGTGTGCGTGCCCATCATGACTGAAGCAAGCTTCCCTGACCCTGAACTGCGCCCTCCAAGCTCTACAATAGAAGGCATGTCCGAGGGCCCCGCCTGCAAGCAACGCTTCGAGACAGAACGCCTCCACCGTACTGAGGAGATCGGCATCTGCCGCAGAGGCGATTTGCAACAGGTGCAGGGAGGCCGCACGCGGGGAAGGCCGCCAGCACGACTGGGGTCGAAGGTGCAAGAGGAGGACCGTTGGAGGAGCCATCCCCAAACTTGGGAGGCAGCTGATGGGAGGTCTTCGTCGGAAGAACTAGGGAGGATTCAGCCCCATTGGGGAGCTGTCACGCGGGATTGGGCCGCAGATTAAGCGGGATCAAGCGGGATTAGATCGGATTTCGGACCAGGGCACGATCAGAAGTTGACCTCCCAGGAGTTGCATCCGAACCAAACTGATACCACTCCGAACTGGCAAGCCGAACATGCAAGAAGAGCCGGAGGCTAGCCCTCCGATGCCCGGGCCGTGCTTGACCTAGATGCCCCGATACGCAACACGCAGCACGTAGCGTGTTGACACGGAGCTCAACACATACACTGAAAACGTAGGTCTGACGCGATACGTTCGCGAAAGCGTCCGCCAACACGTCGAGCCAGCACACAACGTATTGACACGGACGTTTTGAGCACCGCACGTGTTGCGCTTCAAAACGGGCGTATCGGGGCAACTAGCCACGGCTGGATTCGCCTCCAAATTCTTGTCAGGACGTGCCCCGGAGAGGCCTGGGGAGCAACTGGAAACGTCATAAACCTAAACTTTCGGAGGACAGCTTGGATTTCTCGGATCGGCGCTGGACTCCCTTTGCCTAGGAGACAGGAAGAGGAGGAGGAGGAGGAGGAGGAGGAGGAGGAGGAGGAGGAGGAGAAGGAAGAGGAGGAGGGAGGAGCGGGAGGAAGAGGGGGGAGGGGCAGGAGCAGGAGGAGGCAACGCCGCGGAGGGGCCTTCAGAGGAGAGACCCCCCCCGAAGTCAGGCCGGAGGGGCGGCAGCAGTAGCAGGCGAGTCGCGCTTGCCGCAATCGACCTTCGTGAACCGAGCCTGGCCTCGCCAAGCCCACTCGAGCACCGCCCGCGCTGCCCCTCCAGGGCGACCCACCGTCGAGGACGAACAAGGAGGAACGAGGAGGAACGAGGCCGAACGAGGAGGAGGAGGAGGAGGAGAACAAGGAGGAGAAGTGGAGAGGAACGAGGAGGGACGAGGAGGAGCGATGACAAACGAGGACGCCCGAGGAGGAGGAGGAACGAGGAGGGCCGAGGAGGACGAACGAGGAGGACGCACGAGAAGGAACGAGGAGGAACGATGACGACCGAGGAGAAGGAGGAGGAGGAGGAGGAAGAGGAGGAAGAGGAGGAGATACGAGGGGGAGGAGTAGGCGGAGAAGGAGAAGGAGGAGGGGGAACAAGGAGGACGAACGAGGAGGAACGAAAAGGCGGAACGAGGAGGAACGATGACGAACAAGGAGGAGGGAGGAGGAGGAGGAGGAGGAGGAGGAGGAGGAGGAACGAGCAAGAGGAACGAGCAGGAGGAACGAGGAGGAGGAACGAGGAGGGGGAACGAGGAGGAGGAACGATGAGGAGGAACGACAAGGGGGAACGAGGAGGGGGAACGAGGAGGGGCTGACACCCACACCCTCGGTGTGGGCCAGGGCGCCGCCTTCAAGTACTGGCCCTCCGCGTGCAGCAGGCCTAGCGGCGCGCGGCCCACGCCCTCCCGCCCGCCCCTCCTCCCTGCTCCGGCTGCTGCTGCTGCTGCTCGTCCTCCTCCTCCTCCTCCTCCTCCTCCTCCTCCTCCTCCTCCTCCTCCTCCTCCTCCTCCTCCTCCTCTCCTCCTCTCTCCTTCTCCTTCTCCTTCTCCTACTCCTACTCCTACTTCTACTCCTCCCTGCTCCTCCTCTTCATCCTCCTCTCTCCTCTCTCCTCCTCCTCCTCCTCCTCCTCCTCCTCATCCTCCTCCAGCCTCACTCCCTCTCTCTCCCTCCCTCCCTCCCTCCCTCCTCCCTCCCTCCCTCCCTCCTCGTCCTCCTCCTCCTCCTCCTCCTCCTCCTCCTCCTCCTCCTCCTCCTCCTCCTCCTCCTCCTCCTCCTCCTCCCCTCTCCCTCCTCCCTCCTCCTCCCTCCTCCTCCTCCTCCTCCTCCTCCTCCTCCTCCTCCTCCTCCTCCTCATCATCATCATCATCATCATCATCAGCATCAGCATCAGCATCAGCATCATCAGCATCAGCATCAGCATCAGCATCATCAGCATCAGCATCAGCATCAGCATCAGCATCAGCATCATCATCATCATCATCATCATCATCATCATCATCATCATCATCATCATCATCATCATCATCATCATCATCATCATCCTTGTCCTCCCGACTCCTCCTCCTCCTTCTCCTCCTCCTCCTTCTCCTCCTACTCCTCCTCCTTGCCCTCACCACCACCATCAGCATCATCATCAGCAGCATCGTCATCGTCATCGCAATCACCATCACCATCATCAGTATCATCGTGATCGCCATCACCGCCACCATCAGACTCCGCACCACCATAACCATCATCATCATCATCATCATCATCATCATCAACATAATCATCATCAGCAGCAGAATCATCATCACCACCATCACCACCATCAGCATCAACCTCATCATCAGCACCATCCGCATCACCATCATTATAATCAGCATCATCATCATCATCATCAGCAGCATCAGCACCATCATCATCATCATCATCATCATCATCATCATCATCATCATCATCATCATCATAATAATCATCATCATCATCGTTATCATCAAAGTCAGCAGCAGCAACATCGTCATCATCACTATTCGCATCAACCACATAATCATAATCATCGCAATCGTCTTCACGAACATCATCGTCGTCATCACCAACACAATGACCATCACCACCACCAGCATCAGGGTTACCATCATCAACAGCAGTAGCATCATCAGACTCAGCCTCATCAGCACCGTAACAACAACCATCACCGCCATCAACAACGTATTCAATGTCCTCTGTATCACCATCATCAGCATCACCATCACCATCACCATCTTCATCATCAGCAGCATCATCAGCACAATCAGGATCAACCTCATCATCATCACCGTCGTCAATAGCAGCATCTCAAACACCAGCGGCATCGCCAGAACTCCATCAGCATCACCACCATCATCAGCAGCGACACCATCATCACACGTCACCGCCACTACGGCCACCACCATCATCATCAGCATGATCACCCCTACAAACATCATCATCATCAGCAGCATCATCACTATCGTCACCATCACCATCGCTATTACCATCACCATCACCATCATCATCATCATCATCACCATCATCATCATCATCATCATCAGAACCATCACTGCCATCGTCATTATTACCATCATCAGCAGCAGCAGCATCAGCATCAGCAGCATCGTAATCCTCATCATCAGCAGCAACATCACCATCATCACATATCATTACCAAACTGCCACTACCATCATGATTAACATGATCACCCCCACAATCACCATCATCATCATCATCATCATCACCATCATCATCATTGTCATCAGCAGCAGCATCAGCGTCATCATTATTATCAGCATCATCGTTATATGCATCATCAGCATCTTCATCATTATATGCATCATCATCATCATCAACATCATGAGCAGCAGCAGCATCACCATCATAAGCAGCAGCAACAACAGAAACAACATCATCATTATCATCCAACCCATGAACTTCAAACTCCCCTGCCTCTCTCAGCCCACTTTCTTCCTCCTCCTCCTCTTCCTCATCCTCCTCCTCCTCATCCTCCGCCTCAACATCATTATCATTATCAGCATCAGCATCAGCATCATCATCAGCATCAGCATCAGCATCATCATTATCAGCGTCATCATCATCATCATCATCATCATCATCATCATCATCATCATCATCATCATCATCATCATCATCATCATCATCCGTCCCATCGTCCTCCTTCCCCCCCTCCTCGGCCTCCTGCTCCTCCTCCTCCTCCCTCGTCCATCATTCCCTCCTCCTCCTCCGCGCATAATCCGGGGGTGGGCCGTTAGGTCTACTTAGAGTATATACAATCGAGAATAGACCCGAGCCGTTGACGACGATTGGGAAACACAAAATATCGCCAAAAGAGGAGAGAGAGAGAGAGAGAGAAACAAAAAAAATGATTATATATATATAGAGAGAGGGAGAGAGAGAGAGAGAGAACGCACATATTCCTTCTCGAATATTCTTATAAGGATACCCTCTTATATACATTCGGCCCTAAGCGCTCCCACCAACATGAAATTCGAATTCTCGGTTTCGGGAGCCCTCTGGGCCATCCTACGCCGCCCGAGCGGGCCCAAAATCGCTTCCCGGACGGTCCCGCGGAGCCCCGAAACGGCTCAAGGCCGCTCCAGCAAAGCCCATGAGCGCTCAAAGAGGGCCCAAGGTGGCTTCAAGACGGCCCAAGAGGCGCCCAAGACGTCTCAAGAGGCACCCAAGGGAGTCCCCAAGACGCACAAATCGGTCACTT